TTTAAATTTCAACGCCCTGTATCTCGAAAATGAGCCGCTTTAGGACATATGTTTATTAAGTAAACTGCACTTATTTTTGGATTTTTTACATACCATATCCGTTTGTAACACCTATTCATTAACACCCTGTATAAACAGTGAGAAAAAAAAATTGAAGAAATTAAGGGTGTTTTTTGTGGCTATTTCTCGAGATACACTAACCAAAAAAATCACGTATAATCAGTGAGTCTTAAGCTACAATGCATAGCAGTTACATAGATCTGCGATGGGTGGATCATATTCAAAATAATCATATTATATTGCTAGGTACAATATTGTGAACTGATACTTGTTAGAACTTTAGAATATACCACGACAGTGATGTGTGAGATCTTTGTGAAGTTGCAATATTTGTGTCGAATATTTTAACCACACAATAATGATTTTTTTAATTTTCAACATACAATAAAATCTTCGGTCACATATTTAATATTTATTTATAATTATTTTTAAAATATAGAAACGAATCATTCACCCATGAACAATTAGAATGAACTTAACCTCTGCTTGACTGGATCAGCTGTTAGCTTGCGCACGCGCAATTGATTTTGTTCCATTTGTTCCAAGGTGACATTGGGATACAATATTCGTACCATTAGTCTACAGGCATACTATAAAGATTTAATTTTCAGACTAATTATGACAAAATCGGATACCGATATCTTTTTATATAACATCTGTAAGTGTAATACGTCAGTTAAAACTTACACAAATATTGCAACTTCACAAAGATCTCACACATAACTGTCGTGGTATATTCTAAAGTTCTAACAACAAGTATCAGTTCACAATACTGTACCTAGCAACATACAAACCCATCGCAGATCTATGTAACTGCTATGCATTGTAGTTTAAGACTCACTGATTATACGTGAATTTTTTGGTTAGTGTATCTCGAGAAATAGCCACAAAAAAACACCCTTAATTTTTTAAATTTTTTTTCTCACTGTTTATATAGTTGAAAAACTATGAAAAAAATATGCAATATAATTCTTATCAGTAGCTTTAATATGCCGTTGGATTTATTCAAATATCTATCATAGTTTTATAGAAAAATGATTTTGAAGTTAAGGGTTGCAACCCCATTTTTTTTTTAAATGAGCAAAGATAGAACTCTGATAATTGGTCAAAAGTTGTTTCTATCAACAAGCAACACACTGAAGACACCATTGTTAAAAAACACGCCAGTGCAGATTTCACGTGGAAACCCGGTGAGACCCTTTATCATCTTTAGATGAGTTTTTAACGGAAACAGCTGCTCCTAGAGACTTCAATAATAATATGTACATTTCTTAAGTAGAAAAGATAGGGGAAAATGTTTTTTTATTCCGAAATGACATACACCGTGGCACAAAAAAGTTGAAGCGATTTAAAAGGATCCTAATTGTCGCTTGTGGCACCTTCTGAGAGATACAGCCAATCGTTAATAAAATTTGAATTTCCCGTCCCAAGAAACCTCCGCATACAAAATTTCATGAATCAAAGTAGTCGAGAGTTATTAAAGAAAATGTAATTAATTTTTTTTTTTAATTTGACATCCTGTATGTATGTCCTAAACGAAGCGTTTCCAGATCTAAGTACATAGGAGATTTTTTGCTTAAAATTGAACGTAGAACATACTGAAGTATGTACATCTCCTCCTGAAACACCCTGTATATTTCGAAAAGTAACAAAGCAATCGATACTTATAAAAAATCAATCGATAGATACTTTTAAAACCTACATATTTCTCATTTATCAGTTTTCGATCGTAGCTGTCGTTTTTTAGTTATTTAAGAGAAACCGCGAATTTTTTTGGCCATTTTAGATCAAGATTAAAGAAAAAGAAATCCAACTTAAAATTTAATTTCCTATAGGTACGGTCACATTTTTTTTTTTTTTTTGCAGGTAATCATTTCTGCAAGCACTTCTCTGTACAATGTCTGTATCTCTGTATCACGACAGTTTTTGCGACACCAACATTCATAATGTTTTTAAAAGTTTTGGCAGAAGTAAAGTAAGATATGCTTGTTGCACTTAACAAAATTTACTACGCTTTTTGCATTTATATGTCAAAAGTACGCCTTGTGAGCTATTATTCGAGATAGCCGTATTACTCTGCTGGCTGTTCAGGAACTGAAATTGCGTTTCTGCTCTTTATACCAGCATCTCACTGGTTGGCGGCTACGCAATTGAAATTCTAATTCAGTTTAACTCCCAAGCGTCTATTGCATAGGTGGCGGATACGCAATCTTTCCATGCTGAACCTCCTTGCTATAACTGTTGATAGACAAGACTTCTTGGTACGACGGATTAACATCAACGGAATTTATAATTCAGTTTTACTCTCTGCTGCTGGACAGGTGACGGGTAGAACAGCTCTCGTCAGTTGGAGGCTGCTTACTGCTTTCAGATCCTAACTTACTAGAAAGGCTGAATACTGACAGTTCGGGGTATTCGTTATACCTATCGAATTGACGCAAAAATACTTTTTACTTTAAAAATGTCTAAAATTTCCAATTTTTTAAGCAAACAGTAAACAGTCCATGTACAAAGTTAATATTAAAAGAGTAAAATTTACTCATAGTAAAAAATCGAATAATAATATCCAAATTGTACACTAATTTTGTTTATATTTCAGTAAATTACTACCGTCTCTTTTTCTTGTCTTGTAGGTATTTAAAGTTGAAGTTAAGGAACCTCCACAAGGACTGACTCCTCCTAATCAAAATACTATCAAAAAGCTTTCACACAAACCAAACAGGTTAAGAAAATTTGTAGCAAAATATTCAGCTGGCTTAAGAATAAGAGCTCATCCCTCTTTACAAAGTGAACAAATTGGAGTTGTACACGTTAATGGAACTATAGCCTTCATTGATGAAGTAAGTTAGGGACCTGTGTCCGACTTTACATATATCGGGAAGGCGAAAACCTCTTTTTTTTTTCGTCAAGAAAAAATCAGTCTTTATGAAATTCTTTACCTGTTCTGGAACTCAAAATTGTTACTGCTCTCATGACTTGCCATACAACAGCTTACATTTATGATTAATTTTCTTAATTAATTTTCTCGAAAACAGAAGCATTTAGGCCATCAGTTACTTAATAAAAGTTGCTCATATTCGTGTCCTCTATCATCTAACGAAGCTGCTTTGGATAGAAGTGAAATTATGTGTTATATTTTCATTATTATCCATTTTCGGAAAAATGTTTATACAATTATTTGTACTATCCGTTCCAATTGTATGGCGAGGTAATTTAGAACAGTCCCGATACGGAGTATTCAGTTACTAATCGGTCAAACGTCACCAACAGATTCTATTATGAAAATTAACGGACATAGTTCAAAATTTTGTCAAAAAATGTTTTGTTTCCAAGATACACGGTGTTCAAGTTCATAAATCGAATATTTTCAAGCATATTTCGGAATTTTCTTAATAACTTGTTTTCTAAATCTTCACAGATAGTCTTAACATGGATCTCTATTATCAGGTATATTTCCATGTAAATACAAAAAATCAGTACCTAGCGTTTTAACTTATTATCGCGGTTTTTTTTACGAAAAAGTGAATTTCAATTTTATGATATCTGAATATTTTGGTGCATTTTAATTTATTAAATACCATATTTTTATTAAGAATGCAGCTAATCATATATTAAGTAGTTTTTACAATTTGCGCCAACTTATCTCTATTGGAAATTCAACCCCTATCGAGATTGAAGCCTCTAGGCATTAGTTCGCGCAACAGCTTTCACAAAGCATTTCCCGGTAGGTGCTGACATTTGAATAATGCTAAGTTAGATGAAAAAACACTCACTTAATGTAGTTACAATTTTAGTAAAAAGTGATATTCAATTAGACCGGAACGCATCAAAATACTCAACTGCCCTTAACTGTGATAGTTAATATTTTTAATTTTTCAACTTGTATCTCGGAATCAAAGTATTTTGCAACAATAGTATATTATTATATTAGGATTAAAAGTGTTACTTTTGTGGCGAGCAAATTTTGTATTTGCGAGGCGAAGAGTAGCGTAGCAAGGCGGATGCAAAATTGCGAGACCAAAAAGACACTTTTAATTCGAATAAACATGCTATTTTTCTCCAACCGAAATCCCCCATTTAATTATTAATTTGTGCTTTGAAATTGTTTAAACCAAAGAACCCCGCTGATCAAAAGTCTCAAGGCTCATTGAAGAAATTAAAATTTATAATCAAAGGATTAAAAGTGAATACTTTTCTTGCTAAGATACCATTTTTTTTCTCAGTAAGGATAATGTCAACTTTAAAGAGAGTCAAAAATGTTATAGTTTTGCGACGGTTGGAGAAAAAAATTTATTTGAACTACAACACTTTATTTTTTATCGTCGAATGTGTTTGGCTAACTTATAACTAAATACAATAACAATGCATTGCTTTTGTAACAGTTGTGTTTGTTATTGTCAGATACATAATGATGATGGAGTGTGGCTGAGGTTGTCGGCTGATACAGTCAAACAGTATTGCACTGTCTCAGCTATAGAAGCTTGGTGTCTTCAATATAATCAACATTTAGGCAAAACTTTACTTTTACCGGTGGAAGAATCGAAAACCATTCTTGATAAAATTTTTACAGACACGATAATAAGAAAATTGCCCGAAATTCAAGAAAGGTCAGTATACGGCAACAGGTTAACATTTTTGTGAAATTGAAATTAAAATTATCTTTTTTTCTACAGACGCCAAAATTCAAATTTTGTTATAAACTACGAAGTAATTAAATGTGGTGCTTCAGGCCACAATATTCGTAGTCGGCCAAGTTTGAAAGCTCCGCCTATAGGAATGTTAGTTTTAGGAAATAAAGTAGGTTGTACTGAATATACCATAAATTCTGATGGTTGCTGGGTACTTTTGGATGAATATACTAGAGACAAATATTGTTTCAACACAGAAGGAGATGCATGGTCCTTAGCTGTAGGTCAAAATAATATCCTTTACTTGGGAGGTATCAATGAATCGGATAATTATCCAAAGCTGACTTCTGATTCTGATAATACCTGCTCACAAAAAAAGGGATTTAATTTTTCAAGTATATTAAAACTAGGAGAAAATCATTTTTCATTTTCTACACAAAATGCCATTCCTATAGTACCATCAGAAAACCCATGTGAAATATCAGCTACAAATCCATTCATTTTTGGAGAGAATACTATCGATTCACCAAAATTATCAAACATGGACAAAAATGATATAAAAACAAATGTTTTCTCTAAATGGTTTCAAGATGTTAAAAGGTAAAACAAAGGTTGTTACTTAAGCTGAACTTTCTATTAATATTATTTTCAGCAACGAAACGGTATTAACTATCGGCAACAATATATCTGTTAAACATACGAGTGAATGCAATGCTAATGGTAATAGAATAACTGCTTCAGATGCTGCAATAGGGTCTCAGAGTCCCAAATCCATGAGTCGAAGTTCAAGTCCAGTTGGCATCCTATGTAAGTATAATTTTTTTGTAGGGTAATATGTTTTATTCATTATTACTCTCTTGCTTCTGTCATCACATAGATTACAGTTAGTTTTTTATTTTAAGTAAGTGAATTACTGTTTTGATTATGAGATTCTTACCTAGTTTCGGGAAGATGACGTCGGCTTTTTTCCACCGGTCGTGGAATCTTCGTAATCTGAGGATGGCGTTGACGATGTTAAGCAGCGCCATTGCTCCCCTCAGGGGGAACTTTCTGAGTATCCGATTTCCAATCTGGTCACAACCAGGATTGAACCGTTGCAAAATACCTCTCACCTCCTCGGATGTCGCTGGTCTGATGTCGTCTCTGTTGGGTTGGCGTCGGTAACGCCGTAAACGTCGTTCCACGTCATCTGTAAATTAATGCTGTCGGAGAATGCCTCGGCCTTTTTATACATTGTATAACCGATCCCATTCTCGTAGTGAATCGGAGGTGTCGACTTACGGGTGGACCTCTGTACCCGTTGCACCTCCATAGGCTGCGGTCCTCGGGGTTTAATGACTCTAGGGGTCGCTGCCACGGAGACTGGTAGTATTCGTCCGGGGCGGCTTGCACCTTCCAGTTCAGCTGATTTAAGGCCTGCTTATCCAGGGGATGGACCGTCATCATAGCTCTTCTTTTTGCCGCAAGTCTTTCCATTATTAGGTCCTGCAACGTAAAAGGCAACTCTCCGTAGTGCTGGTTTCCAAGGCGGAATGGATATCTGTCTCAAGGCTCGCGAGGCCACCTCAAGGTCCGTTTTGTTACGGATGATGGGGATGGGTGCACAGATTCGTTGCATTTCTGCGCAGAACGGTCTCGATCGGTCTGCCTCTTGGCGACTGTTTCTTCGCAGCGTCGTTCGTTTTCTAGGGTTAAGAGAATAAGGACGTGGTTGGTCGCTCCATTGTAATGCGTCGTCAAGTCGGTGGCCATCGGTATCCCCTGAGTAAGGCGATATCCAACATGTGTGGTCTTCCAACTGCTCCGAAGTACTCACTCCATCAGGTCTATACGAGGTGGTGTCCTCATGGTCCCGCAAAAATTGCAGAAGTACTCTACCATATGCGGTGGTAGTCCTGCTATTCCACTTGATCGATCTCGCGTTAAAGTCCCCAATTGGTGAACGGGAGCTGGGGGTGCTGGTAACAGATCACTATTGCGATGTCATCAAACTGACGGATGCGGATCAAAACTGCGATGGCTTCCATGTTTTCCAGGTGAGGAATCTGCAACATATGGCTCTTTTCACGAGCAATACCACGCCTTTGTTTCAGTCATTTCGGTACACTCTGTAGCCGGGAATCCTAACAGTGTGTGCGTCATTTATGTTTGTCTTTTGTATCGCCATGACGTCAACGTCTAGACGGGAGAGACCTTTGAGGTAATTTTTTGGCCCCGGAATCCGCGGACAGTCCAGGAGGCAATTCTGAGAGACGTCACACCTCGCGGAAGGTCCATCAATTCTGTGTCTGTACTTCACGCACTTAGCCGCCGCAGTGCAGCGACTCTGGGCGTGACCGCAGCGGTGACTCTGCGTGGGCATGGTCGTCGTTCATCGCTCGCCTCCACTTGGCCGACGAGGTGGCAGAACCTGGTCACTTTCAGGATGTCTTGTTCGTGGGAGACTTGAACCAGGACCAAGGGCATCGGGGTTATCGTCCTTCTGCTCGTCACCTTGAAAGGAGACGGAGAAAGGAAAACCTTGTTTTACGAGATCGAACTGGATTTCTTTCTCAGAAATCCCGTTCTCCAACCTGGGTACTACCACCCTCAGCCTCGTCTCGCAGGGAAGAAAGAAGTTGTGATATTTTCTGTTCTACTCCGCGAGGGTATGCGTAAGGCGGCGTAGTCGTCGAGCATTTCCGTTGAATGGCTATGCATTTCCCGGTTAAGCTGATCTGAGTGAATTTGATCCTCCTGGTATTCATGCGATGACTTCCATCCATTCTTCCTTTTCCTAAGACATGAGTTATGATTTTTAGGGGTGATCAATATGGGAGTACCTATTAGCAGAGCTGGGAAATTCCTGGTGAAAAAGTAATTAGCAATTACAATTCCCTTTTTTTTCCTGTAATTGTAATTGTATTTAAGTACTTTTTTTTATTAAAGTAATTTGGAATTGTAATTGCAGTAAAATTGTTATAGGAATTGTAATTTGTAATTATATTATTTGAACTATCGAATTACAAATTACAATTACGATTACTTTTTCTAATAATTATAATTACTTTTAAGATCATGCGTATTGCGTAATTGCGTACAGACTTGCAGACTTCTATTATTTAATTTGAGGAAAGCGAGGAAAACAATAAAAAGTGATTTGGTGAATTAACCTCAGAATTAACAGAGTACATTTTATTATAATTATTATTAATTTAGAAAAAACAACGAAGTAAAAATATGTTGTCTATAGCATCAAGTTTTATAAAAATATATATTATGTATCTATGTGTTATTGATCTTATTTTGAGTTGAGAAAACTTCTGGTTCGGTTACTCAGCCTTTCACTCGTACTTGTTCGATTCGTAATTTTTTTAATAATAATTATTGCTTTCCAGTCTACCCAAAACTGCTGTATTCTATATTTTGCAAATGTACTAACAACCAAAAAAAGAGCATCGGGTTGAATTAATTACCTGACGAATAATATAAAATTATAGTATGAACTGAACTAGTTTAAATTATTAGATTAAGAATAAAAATATAAAAATTCTATATCAGAAAATGAATTATAATAATCTTTTCATTGTAGTATCAATTCTAATAAATAATAAAACGCAATATTACACAACTCTTTTAATTTAAATTTTTAACTTAACTTTTTCCTTTTTCTCTGTTTGGTCACTATAATTTACTTTATCATAAAAGTAATTAAAAAAGTAATTAGAAAAGTAATTGCTAAATCCATTTTCCATGTAACTGTAATTAAATTAATATAATTCCTTTTTTAAAGAATATACTTTGTAATTGTAATTTGTTGCTTTTTTTAAAAAAGTAATTTGTAATTGTAACTATTTTTAAATTACAAGTAATTACCCAGCTCTGCCTATTAGATAGGATAACGGTGATGGCGACATACTATTTTTAGTTACGGTTGTCAGTTTTAACCATTTTAACAACTACACGGATTTTGTGATATAAAGAAATAGAGGGTGTTTGAAAAAGTTGGTAAGGTGGTGAAAGTAGAGCCAAAAATGGCAAAAACAGTTTCTATAAACATTGGTCTTCCGGAGCACCATTACTAAGATATGGCCCTCCGAAGGGGTCTTATCATTTTTTTTTCTGATTAAGATAATGGAATGAAAATTGTAGGTAATAATCATCCCATAAGTCTAACTATAAGCTTCATCAAAATCGATTATAAATAAGAATAGTTTTCTAACGATCCTTAACAGAAATTTTTCGAATTTTTTTTGTTTGAATTATCAAGCAAATAATATTATTTTTTAATAAACTAGACTTTTTCGAAGAAAAAATTTCTCTACTTTTTTCTTAGAATTCTGCGTAGTTTAGTCAGAAATAATTATTTTTTAAATAATGTATGTATTTTTTAAATAAATTTTTATTTTGAATTTTTGGTTATAACTGAATCACAAAATGCATAAAAAAGATCTTAATTCCGAATGTGAAGCAATGGCTCAAATTGTTCACACCAAAATACAGGAACGTAATCTTAGGAAGTCGAACCGAACACGCTGAAAAACTTCATGTTGAATTCGTATGTCATCGAAAACTTCACCAATACGTTGCTGCAACTCTTTAATGGTAGTGACAGGCGTAGCATATGCCATTCTTTTTACGTTTCCCCATAAACAAAAATCATCTGCATTTAAATCCGGCGAACAAGGTGGCCATGATATGGGCGCGTCATTTCCGCGACCAATCCATTTTCCCGGGAATGATCGATTTAAAAAATCCCGCACTTGCTGAGCATTCTTCATCTGCATAATGTGGAGGAGCTCCATCCTGTAAAAAAAAATGTTTGCTAGTAGTTCAAGAGGAATATCATCTAGCAGGTCTGGAAGATCATTTACCGAAAGGCTTAGATATTCAACACCTTCCAATCGATTCGGTAGAAAGAAAGGTCCCGGAAAGTGATTGCCAACAATCCCGGCCCAAATATTCATTGAAAATCCCCGTTGATGACGAGTTTCAACAGTGGCATGGGGATTTTCATCACACCACCTATAAAGATTGTGCAAATTGATAACGCTATCCCATGTAAAGTAATACTTTATCGGTAAATAAAATATTTGAAACGAATGTGTAATTATCTTGTTGGTGACCAAGAATTAGGCGACAAAAATAAAGGCGGGCGGGAAAATGGTAAGGGTATAATCCATTTTCCTTAAGCAACTGTCATACATAAATATTGTTTGTTCTAAAGCGAGCAGCCGCTTTTCTTACACTCGCAGTAGGATTACATTAAAAAAAATTTAAAATTACTTCGTCTAAATCATACCTACTCTCCTTCGGACGGCCAGATTCACGATATCTTGGAGTTACGGCTCCTAATTCCATCGCTCGTATATGAATTTTCCCAAACAATCTTGCAGAAGGTTGTCTTCTATCAGGGAAACGTTATCGATACTCTCTTTGATCCGCCAGACTTTCCATTACAGAAACCATAAATAAAATGCATATCGGCATATACACGGTTAGTAAAAGCATGATGGTACATGGTTGTAAAAAATTCGAATGAAATGCAAAGTCAAACTCAAAGATCTCATTTAAGAAAATAGAGAAAACCATGGCACGCGAACGTGACAATCATTAGTATTATTCAGATCCAATAGTATGGAGATGGAGACAAAGCCGACTTTTTGCCCGTTGTAGCTGTTCTAACATGAACACCAAAAGCGGCAGCCATTGGCCCTAAGTCACGTGACCTAGAATTCAAATCACGTTCCATTGATTTGAAAAGGAACTCTATTTCTTATTAGGAAATTGACCTTTTTGGTAGTAACTAACAATGAAAATATTTATTTTTAAAGACAATAAATAATAAGCTTTATTAAAATTTTATACTTTATAAAATAATATTTTTACTTGAAATGTTTTTTCAAATATGAAATAAATAAAAGATATTAAACTATTATTTTATTAAAAAAATAGATAAGGATACAACTACAGTTGTTCAAGAAGTAATTTGTAAATATTAATAAATACGGAAATAAATACTTTTTATTTATCCTCGCATCTACATGTCATAAATACAATAGATACATACAATACATAAATCAGTGTGTCCTGAAATTCATAATTTGGTCACAGATTCTTAAGACAAATTTAGGGGACCCGTATTTTTTATTTTTGCCAGGTGGGCCCCCTCTTTCGGAGTTACAGCCCCATGAAGACCGCCACTAAGAATAATCTTTTTTTATATCTCAGAACCCTGTTGTGCGAGAATCACTAAATTTAGTACATAGGAGTTTTATGACATATGCAATCTGATGGTGCTACGTTTTTTGGCGGGGAATCCCCTTAAGACAATTTTTCGTGGGCCCCCTTGTCTTATTATTTAAATTTCTTAAAAATCAGCAGTCCACTAGAAAGCCATTAAATTTAGAAACTTTTTGTCGCTTTATACTTTTTTCGTAAAACGCAATGTTTTCGAGAAAAATGTCAAAATGTGATCGAAGTCTGCAAATGCCCTAAGTCACGTGACCTGAGACTAGTTTCATTTTACTTTACATGTTGTCCCCTAGCCCCTCTCTCTACATTCCATTCATAGTATAGCTACTATATTAGATCTATGGTATCATTACAGTGAAACTGTCACCATACCATACCTACTATGTGAAAAAATTTAAAAAATTTTTGCCTTTCTGAGCCATACATTATTTAAAAAATAATTATTTCTGACTAAACTACCCAGAATTCAAAAAAAAAAATTAGTGAAATGTTTTCTTATTATTATTATATTATTTGCTTGATAATTCAAAGGAAAAAAATTCGAAACATTTCTGTAAATGGTAGTTAGAAAACTATCCTTATTTCTAACCAATTTTGATGAAACTTATAGTAGTTAAAGACCCTTCTGGTATGATTATTACCTATAATTTTCATTCCATTATCTTAATCAGAAAGAAAGTTATTTTAAAAAATATCCAAAGGATATTCGGAGGACCAACCACTTTCACCTCCTTAAATTTTGTACCATCTTTTGTATAAATATCAAATTTGAAAAGTACCTACATGCAGTAAACGATGTATTGACAACTCAATTGATAAGTACCTGTCACTATTAAATCGGAGAACACTATACCAACGAGAAGCAACAGCAAGACTTTCTGCGTTAACAGTTTTCGTACGCGCATGCTCGAACTGGGTTGTGTTGCTGTCAGTTGTCAGTGACTGCCAGAACTGCTAAATATAAATAGGAGAAACAAGTAATTAGTAAAATATTAATTTTATCTCTATTTCTTTTTAAAAATATCATAATAACGCATCATATTTAACTTTAAATTTCAGTTTCCGGAATGAGTCAAGCAAGAAGGAGTTCCAACCAGTCAGATACTAGTGCTCTAGTAAGTAGCATTACCAGGGATATTTCTCAATCACTCAGTCAAACAAGGGAAATGTCGCCTAGTCCTGGTGGTAGTCCTCTTCACACTCAATCTGAATCAAGCCCAACTCCAACTTCAAAAAATGACTCTATTGTAAGTATTTATATTCACTGAATATTAGCATAATTTAATATACCTATTTTATATTTTAGGTATCAGAACAAATTCAACATAAACAAACTGGCACACAAACTTCTCCGGATTATACAAATAAAATGCCTATAAAACCACATTTTTCTATTGGTATAACTGGAAAAGAAGAAAAAATATCACCAAAATTAATACGTAAAGACAGAACCATAGCTAAAGTGAGGTCAAAACGATCTATATCACCGGCACAGTTGCAACAATTACCAACCAATTTAAAAATGATTTATTCTGAAACGGAGTCTGTTAAACAAGCAATGAGTCCTTCGCTAGCAGAAGCTTTAAGAGCTATCTTTGCGGCTTTTTTGTGGCATGAGGGTATGTAATTTGTAGATATTTTTTTAAGAACCATTTCAAGAGTATTTACATTTCTAATAGGGTGCAGATGAGCTTAAATTATTATAAGATTAATCGAATGGTCTACAAATGTGCATTACTAGTACCATAATAAATGAAATAAACTTTTTAATATTGTGGGAAACAACTACTCAAGGGCTATATGCTCTGGTTGTCATTGAGTTGCACCCTCAAATACAGTACATAAAACATCTAAATGATTCATTCGTCAGTTGTCTTATCTATGGCATACCCGCGACAACAATAATTTCGAAACCGGTCCGTCTCATTACTCTTATCTTAACTATTCACTAAATATTGGGGGTGTAATATCATTAATATCATTAGTAAAAATAGTTATTACCTATTATATATATATATATATATATAGAAAGAAAAACACCAGAAAACTTTTTACTCTTAACGTTTCGTTCCCGATCAGGAACTTTATCAAAAGATTTTTAATATTCACATGTATTACAAGTCAAATTATATATTTTAAAACCTAAAAATATACAAAAACATGCAATTACATTATTATCGAAAACAATTAATTTTGTTTGTACGTACCTAAACAACCATTCCATACAATTTTTAAAATTCAATTGTTAAAAATATAGAGGAGAATTTTTTATTTTGTGTGTCATCTTCTATTTTTTTCCTTATTTTAAAATTAACTTCAATTTGCATTTTAATTGGAAATTTTTTATAGTGTTAATTTCGAAAACTTTAATGCTGATGTGAGGATACGATGACACTGCCATGAGAAACAAAACGCGATAATTTGAACAAGTTGTACGCCTGGTGGCGAATTTTTGTAAAAATGAAAAACCAGAGACATCTAGGAGATTTATTGGGGACCAGAAATGAAATAGTACAGAAAACATAAAGTTCAAAAATTGGATTTATTAAAGCGATTTGCAAATAAATAAATTAAAATATTGAAAATAATTACGTTTTTTTAATTAAATTATAATATATTTGACTTTAATTTTTAATATCAGTTTTGTCATTAATACTACTTTTATTTTTTTTAATATCTATGAATGATTTCTTGAATTAGTCTTTTGTTGTAATTTGGTTTTTTTACTAAAATTTTAGTTTGATCAAAATTAAATGAATGTTTTTTTTATCTTTTATGTGTTTATTAAGAGCTGATGAGCAGTTTTTTGTATATTTATGACCTTTTAATCGGTTTTCTAGATTTTGTGAAGTCGTACCTATCTATTGACCATTGCAACCATTACATGGAATAGAGTATACAACAAGTGAATTTTTTAAAACAGGAGTTTTACTTTTCAGAGGCGTGAATAATTTTTTTAATTGGTTAAGTGATTTATGGACAACAGAAATATTGTATTTGGATAAAATAAATTTAATTTTTTCTGATAAACATTGTATATGTGGTAATGCAATATATTGAGAGTTAACAGAGATTTGATCAGAGACTATAAAATAAGGCGAATGAACTAAGTACACCTTAGACAAAAGTTGCACTCCTGGGGAATTACAGGGTCTTGAATGTTGTAGAGTCAACCAATACTTCCTTCAATAATTTATCTTGAACGATGTGGCGTAAATCATTTATATTTGGTACAGACATTTGTCCAGTGCGGACACATACTTTAAATTAATATTGTTTAAATATATCCACCAGAGGCGCTGCTGTCGACTACATGCAACATATTACTCCAAAGAATTTTTCACTCTGTATGAAAATACATATCTTATTTACATTTTCGAACGTAACAACTAAAACCAAACATTTTTCTCTCTTGTATTTTTTCGATAAACGCGATTTAAGAAAAACAAACTTCGGAAATTTTACAGCGCCAATGGTTGCAGTAACACATCAACACACCATTCTGTAATAGCAAAAAAAAAACGCCTTTTTCGTAAAGTAATTTTAATAAATTTATTTAGTATTCTTTATGTAACAAATAAAATTATTTTAAGTGTCTGATTTAAGTAATAATATCTAATTTAATACTACGTACTGTAATTTCGAATGTAATACTACAACATAACGTTATTTTAAAGTAAAAATATTATAAAGAATATTTTGAAAGTAGTTCCCACTTTCCTTTGAACACAATCTAACACGATTTGTTTGAGGATGTCCTCCTTAAATTGATAAGTATGGGAATACTTCGCCAACATCATAGTTGCTCCTGGTAAATCGGAAACAAATTTGCTGAGTAAACAATTTGCTATTTTTGTGTTGATGTGTCAGTGTCATCAACGGTTTCANGGTCGGCTGCCCGCTAGGAACTGAGAGAACTGGCCGCATTTTGTTTATTCAAGTAACCGCTACGTCAAAGCGCTGCAGCGCTGAAGTTCCCTGAATGCGCCCATTGATATACAATTCTTGTCCGTCTTCACCAATTAGAGAGAGAAAGGGAATGTACTCAAATTATTGCTTTTTTTCTCTACAGCCTCTATACTTTTAAGACGCGTTGCTTCCTCCATATAATTATGCTCTAAGGGACTTACCAACATCTATCATCTATCAGTTTTTATTAAGGCCATAGATCTCTATAAGGTCTATGAATAAGACCCAAAACGTGAAGAAGAAGAAGAGTTATATAGTACTAGTAGATTATTTATACCATTGTTTATATATATAAACAATGTTTATACTATAATTTAACGTTTATCATTCTAAGACAATGGCTAATGTATTATATGTTTTGTGACTAAATGTCTAATGGACGAAGGCCAAAGGAAGAAGAAGAAAAAACATTTATCATTTTCAATTTTTTGTGTTTTTCTAACCTACTTATTTATTTTAAAATGTTTTCTTTCCGATTTCCATTTAATACGCTAAAATTAATACATTGTTTCCAGTTAGTATTTAATTTTTATATATAAAACTGTCCCATCGTACAAAATTTTATTTCATTAATCATGAATACCTATCCCATAAGAATAATTATTCTTGATTCCTACATGTCTACACCAACACAAGGATTAGATGTGATGTACTCAGAATTTAGAGGGTCTGCTATTAATCAAGTTCCAATTATAAGATTATTTGGTTCCACTGAAACTGGTATGTTTATATTTCTTGATACAGAAATTTAAAATTATACATGTATGTACATACGTATGTATACACTTCTGATTTATAGGTAGAAAAATTATTTAGCTTCAATAGTTTATTTAAGAAAAGAAAAATTAATTTTCTTTACAGGGTGGTTCGACTTTCTTATCGAACTTTAAAAACAACTAAATTATTAAAATATAATCATAGTTTATTGTTAAAAACATGTTCAGATTTGATCATCTAGAACACCCTTGTCAAATTTTAGTATGTATGTACATTTAATGAACAAACATTATTTTTCTTCGCTTAATTATACAATAAATAAAGTGCTCTTTCATCATTTTGACAGTTTCCGAATGAAGCAAACTTATTAAAAACANGGTTTTAAGAGGGCAATGTCGATAACGTCGGGGCGTCCTACGGGTCCGTAATGTGTCGGTTCTGTCGGTCCGAGTGGCTAATGTATTATATGTTTTGTGACTAAATGTCTAATGGACGAAGGCCAAAGGAAGAAGAAGAAAAACCATTCATCATTTTCAATTTTTTGTGTTTTTCTAACCTACTTATTTATTTTAAAATGTTTTCTTTCCGATTTCCATTTAATACGCTAAAATTAATACATTGTTTCCAGTTAGTATTTAATTTTTATATATAAAACTGTCCCATCGTACAAAATTTTATTTCATTAATCATGAATACCTATCCCATAAGAATAATTATTCTTGATTCCTACATGTCTACACCAACACAAGGATTAGATGTGATGTACTCAGAATTTAGAGGGTCTGCTATTAATCAAGTTCCAATTATAAGATTATTTGGTTCCACTGAAACTGGTATGTTTATATTTCTTGATACAGAAATTTAAAATTATACATGTATGTACATACGTATGTATACACTTCTGATTTATAGGTAGAAAAATTATTTAGCTTCAAAAGTTTATTTAAGAAAAGAAAAATTAATTTTCTTTACAGGGTGGTTCGACTTTCTTATCGAACTTTAAAAACAACTAAATTATTAACATATAATAGTTTATTGTTAAAAACATGTTCAGATTTGATCATCTAGAACACCCTTGTCAAATTTTAGTATGTATGTACATTTAATGAACAAACATTATTTTTCTTCGCTTAATTTTACAATAAATAAAGTGCTCTTTCATCATTTTGACAGTTTCCGAATGAAGCAAACTTATTAAAAACATTTGTTAACAAATGACTACATTTAAAACATTTTAAGAATGTTTTACTTAAAATTAATTTTTCTGTAGCTCTAATAATGATAATAATATAAAAAAATTACCCACATAAGTTATGTCAAATAAGTTTTTCAAAGCAGGAAACTTTGAAAAATTATCTTATTATTCTTAACATAATTTATCTATCTATCAATCTATCTCCTAATTTGATATCAGTAAACAGTATGAAAATATAATTCCTGATACTGCTATATTATAGTCAAATAAATTTGTTGATAAGTTTCTAAATAATATTCTCTATGTACTTGCCTGCCTATAGACTATGTATGTATGTACCTATTTACTGAAACCAATAATTAATTTTTTATGAATGTGTACATTTTTTTTTAAGGTGAAAAAATTTGTCTTCATATTCATGGCGTTTTTCCTTATCTGTACATACCTTATGATGGAACTGAAGATGTTAACAGTTTAATGTATAAAATGGCAATAACCATTGATAAAGCTATAAATATTTCTCTAAATCAGGGTTCTTCGAATGCACAGCATATTTATAAAATATCCCTTGTATCAGGAATGTAAGTATTTCCATGTAAATTTAGTTGTATTTAGCTACTGAAAAATCTGGCAAATATTTGTAGAATTTTTAATTTTTATACAGGGTGTCCATTTTAATGTCCCACCCCAAATATCTCGAAACCCGAGCAGAATGAGGAAAAATGTTTTAGACAAAAGTTTTAGGGTTCGAAGGGGGACATACGATGGTGACCTTGAAAATGACCTTGAAGTCGATTTTCAAGGTCAAACGAGGGTCAACTTCGATTTTTCAAATGAAAACCCTTATTTTTTATTGCAGGATCGTATTCTACGGAAAAAATACAGATGTTTTGCAGGAAACTTTTTTTTCAAAAATGCATTTTTTTCCGAGTTTTTCACGAATTTCGTTCGTCATGTTGTTTGAAGTGTCAGATGGATCCTGGCTGGGATTCATGTGTTACCCTCGGCATTAGTGTTTCCCGATGTACACCACGTGGAGGTTGCCGATAGGATTCAGCACATCAATGCGATGACCCTTACGACGAAAAACGTATTTGTATGTTCAAGTAGATGAAGATACGTTTTTCTTCGTAAAAGTCATCGATTGGTCCTGAAAAGGGGATGATTAACACACATAAGGATCGTCTGGACAAAGTGAAGAGGGGGCGCGTGTGTTTCTCTATTATTTTGAATAGCTGCAAACAATTTTCACCTGATAAAATCAAAGGTGTGAGAGGAACAGTTCAAGACAAGGATAAAATTGCTGCCAAAAAATCGAGGGGAACGCACGCCCCCGTTCCTCTCCTCAGAGAACTCTAGCAGTCTCATGTGTGTTGATTTGATTTGTCAAGTTTGTGTTATTTTCTGTTTTTCTATTTTCCAGCAGCAGCGCGATCGGTAGGGGCAGATGGGGTAGCGAGCCTCTCCTGCCGCAGCTCCCTGCTCATGTAATCTTCAAGCGTCTTCGAACATGCGGTAGGGGCCCGGGAGTTGCGCGATGGCACGTTCTCGCTCGGTCTCTTCGCTCTCGCGGTAATGCTGATTATTGGATCGTACCGAACAATTAAAAAATTTGATAATTTGATAAGTTCCGTTGCCCTGCTCTCGAGCATTAAAGACTCAGGCAGCGAGTAATGCATGAATCCCAGCCAGGATCCATCTGACACTTTAAACAACATGACGAACGAAATTCGTGAAAAACTCGGAAAAAAATGCATTTTTGAAAAAAAAGTTTCCTGCAAAAAGTTTGTATTTCTTTCCGTAGAATACGATCCTGCAATAATAAAAATAGGGGTTTTAATTTGAAAAATCGAAGTTGACCCTCGTTTGACCTTGAAAATCGACTCCAAGGTCATTTTCAAGGTCACCATCGTATGTCCCCCTTCAAACCCTATAACTTTTGTCTAAAACATTTTTCCTCATTCTGCTCGGGTTTCGAGATATTTGGGGTGGGACATTAAAATGGGACACCCTGTATATTTTGTTAGATGCCACATTTTTATTTTGTTTATGACACTGTCTAATTCAGAATAGGTTGTTGCTGTAACATGTAATTTTTTTTAATAAAATAATTGTTTTAATTTCAAAAAACCAATCAATACTTACAGGATCTTTAGATTTAATTGAGAATACCCATATCAAATTTGCTTCGTACGATTTTGATGATTATATTTCTGTATACTTGGTCTTAATAAGTATGTGGTTTTAAAGTAAAAGGTTATACAAACATGAGTGCACGTGCAGTCAATAGTTTTGGAGAAATTGGTACCCTATAATAACATTTAGTCTTGTAGATGCATTAAGACACCCTGTATATATATGCCTAAAAAAATAACCATAAAAATTGTACAATACACTAAAATTTGCCAAGGGTATTCTGGATCAAATCTACACAGCTTATGTCCTTTTCAGACCAATGTATGGATATCACAATAAAAAGCACCAGTTTTTTAAAATTCACCTTTACAATCCATTATTAATTAGAAGAGTAAGTGATCTTTTAATGAATGAAACAACATTGGGTAAAATTTACCAACCTCATGAAACACATCTACCATTTGTGTTACAGTTTATGATTGATTATAATCTTCATGGTATGAGTAACTTGTTATTATCTGAAATGAAATATAGGACAGATCCAAATATGATGAGTTCTAATATAAGTTCTGAACTAATGTTACCAGCAACAGTAAAAAAAATGTCAGTTTGTGAGATTGAAGCTGATGCATTAGCTGAACACATATTAAATCGATTGGAGGTGGCTTCGGGGAACATAGGAGTAAACCCTGGAATAGCAGCCTTGTGGGCAGATGAAATGCAAAGACGCAGGAACAAAGGAGAAACATCCCAAATAGAACATTTGTTGGAATTGAAAAATACTAACTTGGAACCAACAAAGTCTCATATAGTATTTAAACAAGCTTTACTAGAAAGATTAGCCATTATCTCTACAGATAAGAATGTAACTAATCAAAATTTAAGTATGTCTGTATATCCTGTCGAAACTCCTGAAAATTTGGATATAAAAAATGCGTCAATGATAGATTCACAGACTCCATCAGATTTAGAATTAAGTTTAAATGAAACGTTAATTTCTCCAGATGTAAATGATACTAGTATATCTGGCGAGCTAGATGTAACTATGGATGAAGAGGCACAAGCTTTACTAAATATTTTGCAAAACCTAGGTGATTGATTAATGAATGAATGCATTTTTTTGTTCTATTAATTTGTATAATTATATAATTTGGATAAATTTTTAAATTTTCAAGTTATACAGTGCAGCGTTTCATAAATGAAGGCATTGTTTTCTTCGTCCAACCATAAGAATATTTTATATAAACATTTGCCCTGGAAATCTCATTGTTTTTGTGACAAGTTATATTCTATGTCCTTAAATATGTTTTGAGCAAATGAAAATATTGAAACAAGGTTTTGGCAACAGTGTGTTTGTCTGTATTTTGCACCCCATCAAGTAATTAGCTCAAATTTGTAATCGTAAGAAAATATATAAATATCTAAAATTATGCAGGATGTTTCTTTAAAAAAAAAGTTGGTTTACTTTAAACAGGTTTGCGATGTTCATTTGATCAATTTGATATTCTGTGCTTCTTGCAACGTTTGTTTCAATTTCATTCTATTTCCAAAAATAACCGGTATGTGGGGTGTAAAGTATAGAAAGAGAAAATTATAAAAATGGGACACCCTGTATATTTTTACAGGGTTTGTAGCGGCCTGGAAAACCGGGAACACCGGGAAAGGTCAGGGAATTCATTATTCTTCATAAAAACAGGGAATAGTCAGGGAATTTTGAAAGTATCCTTGAAAGTTCAAGGAATTTCATGATTGCAACTGACAGTTTTGTGAAAGCCGGCCCTGGGTTCTTGAAAGAAAAAACTGATTGTGGTCTACACATACATACATACGCGGTAATGTAAACGGTGACAGTAACGATGGCGGTGGCATTTAAATGTGACGTACAGAAACAAATGGGTCGAAACATATAATTATGTCATTGCTTGTCAGCGTTATGAGCGGTCTTTGTAACGTTCTACCATGTGGTAGTGGTAAGATGCCACTTGTTGTGGTCGGCAACTGACCAACCACGGTCCAGATAAAATACTGCACTGCCAAAAATTTTTTGAAAGTATAAACTACTCAAATAAATTATTAAAAATATATTTTTTACGTTTGAGTGCCACCCTTATAATTTTTTCTAGTATTTTACAATTGTGTGACTGATTTGAGTTCTCAATGGTTAGTAAGCATATTAAATTTGAGTGCAAATTAAAATAAAAATTTGGTAATATGAATTTTTTTCTGGACCTCGTTAACATTTTTTAAAAGTAACCGGACCCCAACTAAAGTTATTTGCCGACCCCTAGATTGTGTAAAAAGCCATAGTGTATTGTATGATTTGTCTCATCTTCATTATAAAAATGTCCGTCTTAAAAATGAAGCATGAGATGAAATAGCAAAAATCCTAAATAAAGAGCAAAACTTCAATTTCAACAATCATTTTAAACGGTAATGGGCCGCTTGCTAATGATTTTATAAAAATGGAAACAGGTTATCAGAAATGCCGCTGCATTAATATGTTTCATTTTGAATAACATTACCGCCACAGCTTACATTACTGCGTAAGTATATGCAGGCCTTTAATATGTTTCAATTCGAATAACGCCACTACCATTGCTACCACCACTGCTTACATTCCCGGGTTTGTATGTGCAGGCCTTTATAAAACGATTTTTGGGTTTAAAAAAGGATTATGAAGTCTAGTCTAGAAAAACTTTAATGCATAAACACCAATTGGTATGTAAAAATGAACTACAAGTGTTTTTTTTTTATGTCAGGAAAAACCTAGAAAAATCAGGGAATTCTATATTGCTTTTTTACAGTGATATAAGGTTTAATAGGCATTTTCATCAAAACTTTTTTTAATGCACATGCGTCAATATCGGCCATCTTTTTTGTACCGTTTTTTTGTAAACATTAATTTTTTCATATTAAGTAGTATCCGAACATACATGATCATATATATAATAACAAATTTCATGTTTTGCTTCAAAGCATTAAATTATTTATTCAATAAAACTCGCGATTAACTTGAATATTGATTTTCAACAATTTTGCCAGTACCAAGAATTTATTTTTAGTTAACTAAAACTAAATTACAATAACTATTCATTTTAATTGTATTTAATTTTAATTATTGTTTACGTAATAAGAATACAGATGCCTATAACCTCTCAGTCAACTCTTTTCTATTTCCTTTTTGTGGACGTTCGTGACATAGCTACCTTTTTAATTGTTCACAATTATGTGCTTCGAGTGAACAATGGATTAGTAATGCACCATCAATAATTTGTTCTAAGGAACTATTTGTGTGTAGAGATAATACTGTTTCTCCAGCCGTTATTAACAAAAATAGTAGGAAACTTTTGAATTCCCAACTTCCAACAATTCCCAACATGGTGGTTGTGCTTGGGTCAGGTCATAAAATAGCATATATGAGTCCATCTTTTATAGTAAAAGAGATATGGCACAACTTGGCCATATCTTCCTTATTATTAGAAATAGTTGTTGTTCCATTTATAAACAAAAATCTGGCTTTGTGATGTTCGTTTGTTTGATTTGATGCAAAATTCTGATACTTAAAAATAATTTAAAAATTTTAAATTTAAAAAAAGATGTTTTTTTTCTATTTCCATATTTTCTGCAATATGACACATTACTCAAAAAAGTTATTTATTTTATCATTTTTAAATTTCAAATTCTGTTTTGAATAAAAATTATCCTGTTACATAGTTTTTACTATTTTGGAACATATTAGCAATTTATGTATAGATGTGTTTAAATAAATTTAAAATTATGCATACCAAGTGTCTAGCAGTAAACAGCATTTTTCTCATTCGTAATCAAGAATACTTTCTTTTATAAACATTTGCCCTTGTATACCTCATTTTTAAAATATGTACAGGCATTTTAAATATAATATTAAAAAAAATTGACAAATTTATCAGAAGATAGGAATCTTTGAGGATAAAAGAATACGGAGACATATCAAAACATGCAGTGGATGTGGCTTGGATAAATTTTGTGTATCGCATTTAAAAAAATAACAATTTTTTTCTAGTAACAAGCCATAATTTTTAAGGAAGATGTAACCAGTATAGCTCATTTATATCACTGGAAGCTGAGACTTAATTTTTTCATGTGGAAACTTTTTTAATAGTTTCAATTAAGGGGATATTTGGAGATATAACATTTTTTTTCACAGAACACTATCTCAAAAAGATGATTTCAAGTGTATATAAGAAAATATTCTTCAATTTAATTGATGAAAATAGTCCTTTATTTTTGTACATATAATTGTTATACCCTGTATAAACAATTTTTTGAGAAATCACTGGTTTCCCCGATATCTGAAGTTGAGAGTAAGTACTGTACAACCTGAAGTAAAAAATATGGAACAAGTTGGGGAAATGTCTGAATAGGGAAGTAGAATCACTGCACACATATTGTGCATATAAAATTCCATTCCAATAGTTTCATTTGTTCAGAAAATATTTAGATATAGAGCAAAGGTTTATATAAAAAAATTTTCTAAAGTTTTGGATGAATAAACGGCTCCTTCAATGTTGACATGTAGCATTAAATCCTTTATTTTTTTTGCTTAGAGGCTAAAGCTAAAGAAGACATGGAAGAAGACAGTATTTTATCACAGGTTGTTAAAGAAAGTTATGAAGATAAGGAATTTGATTTAAGTATGCCATTGGAATCTGTCACGACTCCAAGAAAAATTATTCTAGAAAAAGAAGACAGTGATGATGATTTGTGTAATACTACTTTAATTCCACAGCTAGATGGAGAATGTGATAATGAAATTGAGGTAAAATTAGAGGTAAATAGCGATCTTTGACTTTTATTCTAAGTAAATAATAATGTATATTTATTATAGAATTACGACGAACTGTTTGTTTTTAATAATGTATGTGATAGAAGAATAACAAGATCCTTCAAAAAGTCCCTTGACGATGAATCCAAATATATCAAAAAGGAACAAAAACTAGTAAAAAAGGCTCTTTACGTTCAATTAATAAGAATAGATGCTGTTAAGAAAGGCAGGAATATGCCCCTTTTATCTGACCATTTTGACTTTGAGTCAAATGCAGATTTTCCCTTCACAACCATTAATAATCATGTCAAACTTGAGTATGCTAATGAAGTCAAACGCGAAGATGCTTACCAAGTCAAAGTTGAGAATGTTGAAGAAGATAATACTCCTGCTGAAGATATTGCCGAAGAAAGTAAATCTGACGTGGTAAAAGAAATATTAAAAATGCGGCAGAAAAGAAAGTATGTACGAAAATGGAAAACAAAAACAACAAAGAAGACGCTAGCTCAGATAAAGAGCTGGGAATATCAAATTAAAAGAGCTAGAGTAAGGTATCAACTTGTCAGGATGATGAAAAAGATTCATGACAAAGAACATAAAATTTGTATAATGTTATCAGAAAATTGGAACCCCATATTTAGAGTTATTCCTGGGAACAACTATCGTAAGTATTAATTGTAGTTTGTTTGCCATACTTTAGAGGGGGAGGGTGTTGTGTAAATTACAGTGAATTTATAGCAATCTTTTATGACGAGGGTTTTAGAAAATCTAAGCAAGTTAGTAACAATGTACCAATTATACAAGGTTTTTTCCAGGATGTGATAGTTTACAAACTGACAATACATTCAGAAAAAAGGCATATTTTTAATTCCTATCTTTATCATTAAATTTTTTTTGTCTTTACACGCTTGTTGAATATACAGAAATTAGCGTATGATACTATAAACATAATGACACCCCACGAAGCGCTTTTATGGAATTATTAACACATGAATTGATCATAATTATCGAGTATTTTTACAAAATCGTTTTCTGTGATCTTTCACTGCGAAAAATTAAAGGAATCCTTGTAATTCAACATTTTTATAGTTTAGATGGATTTGCTTGTTTTATCCTTGACTTACTAAAAGTGTGTTACTTTAGAATGTAAATATCGCACCTCCGCTAGAAAGGAGTCGCAACTCAAAAAAAATGGTTTTGAGAAAAACTGTGTTAAAGTATTTTATCCGCGACTATTGTATAATGTACCCATTATACGTCTGTTTGCTCGACCTTATTATTACTCTAATATACTGCCGTGATTAATGAGTCATTAATCACTACTGTCAGATGCTTCCTTGATTTAGCTATAATATTATATTGTTCTGCTACAATCAATCGGTTTTTAAAATTTTATCGTGTAAATCACTAAATATTTTCAATTCAGTGCTGTACATATAAAAAAAAAAAAATTAAAAAGTGAATTTTCCTAGACAAGATTTGAACCCGGGACCCGCGGTTGGAAGGGAAAGAGCATCTACACTGAGCCATCAGCGACTTCGTTTCTGCGTGTCGTATATCTGTTTCTTAACATACCATGTTTTTCGAAACATTTCATAAATCTAAGTAGCTTTTAAAACAAAACAAATTTGACTCAAACCTGTCAACATTATTGTTTGTGTGCATAGATTTCTCAGTGTTTTGATATTTTGTGTTAAATTGTGTTAAAAAACGAACTAAAAACAAAAAAAAACTTCAACAAAGATATTTAGTAGTCGTGGATAAAGTATAGTATTCTACTCCCGTATAATGGCTATTATTCACCCGGTGATTTAGGCCACTCGCCTGCGGCTCGTGGTCGTAAACTTCACCTCGTGAATAATACCCATCATTATACGCTCGTTGAATAATATACTATAATTAACTCCTACCTTCCACAAAATACAAGTGTCACTTCTACCATCTAGCGAGTAATAGTTCAAAATAAAAATATGACGCTTTTGTGGGAGGAAGAACTAGTAATTTTAAATCTTGCTGCATATTTAACTCATTAAGGACGTTTTTTGACTTGTGACTCTTTTTTTGCGGGGGTGCGATTATGAATAATATGACTATTTGGTCCTTGTCTATAATGCATGGGTATTGTACATAATCATTAGAGAACTTGGATGGAGGGTTAAATATTTTAAAATTAATTACATTCACTGGACATAATGTTAAATTCTTTATAGACACTATATACAGGCCATAGGATATATGTTGAGATAGAATTACAAGAAAATAATAAACCAATAAAGTAACTGCAAAACACAGTACCTATGCACTGCAAGCTGCTATAGTGAACATTACGTGCTGCCAATGTTTTTCTACATACCTCGGGTGTCGAATGCGGTTAATTCCAAGAAAGAGATGCAGGGATCTTGAAATTTTATCTCAACAAAAATTGTTCAAAAACATTCACAAACATTACTTTGCACTATTGCTCTAGTCGTTATGTATCGTTATACATAACGATACATTCAGTGCTAAAGAAACACTATATTGATGACACATATACACATCATACACACCACACCATAACCTTTCATATTCATTAGGCTATTAGGAATTGCATCACTTGTGGTATTTGTTGTAAAACAGGGGAAGCTCCCTCTTCCACAGATATATTAGTGCCACTTTAACATTATTGTTATATTACAGGTTTATTGATTGGATTATTCGTATTTTTGTAGATTTTTCCTTCTTGGAAATGTCTTTTGATTTGTTACACTACTGTATACTAGAACTGTGAATTAATTTTGAGGTATGTAATTACTTACAATAGATGACATAACGTAACTATATTTCATCGGACAGTTCTGTAACTATATTCATGTCAAAGCTTTGCCATTAGGCTTCACTTTTTATTGTGTCATTTTGCTGAAGTGTAACCATATTTTTTCTCCACTCCAACGATATTAAATTACGGGCCAACCAAACACCATTTGTGAAAAGTTGTACTTTTCCTGTTTAATTTAAAGATAAGTGCTGCTGAAAGTCATCAAGTGCTGCTGAAAACTTTTAGTGAACATACTCCATCAATGTTCTAAGTGATAGAAGTGGTGATTTCGATACAGATACAGATGAATTTATGTTAAATGTAAAATAATGGGGTTTGTCTGATCATGCATCAACATTGACAGCATTGATTGAACACAATTGATGTGTCTGAGCTGTGCATTGAAGGAAAAACGGCTGCAATTCGAGCAAAGGGAAAAAGTAGTGACTAGGGATGGACAATACTTCGAAAAATCAAAATTTAATCAACATGTGCCTTAAATATAACTTACTGCAGAATAAGTGTGATATATATGGTGATACATTTAAAGTTTTTGTTAAAAATCTTGTTTGAGTACTGATGCTGTTATTGGTCAATTAGCTTAGCGTAACTAACTTATAAGTCTGTCATTAAGTATGTCCTTTTTTCCTGTTTTTTTTCTCTATCTTATCTGTTTTTTTTTTGTTTTATATGTTTAGATTAGTACATCTTAGGCCAAATATTTTATAATAAATAACAGTCTGTAATTGGATCATTGCGATCTGTAGATTGTTCATCAATAAATAAATAAATAAATAAATAAATAAATAAATAAAAATAATATTGTACACAATTTTTCACAATAAAATCTTGAATTTACAAAAAAATTAATTGACAGTCCTAGTAAAACTAAACTGCCATATACATTTTTTATGAGCGTTTAAAGTATGTGGAGATAGGCGAGGGAAGAGATAGCTGCTATGAAGGTACATGCTATTGCTCTTTCGTCGAGCGTGATTGGTTCACTACTGATCACCTCTATATATACGTGGCAGGAACAGCTAATCACATTCAACGAAAGAGCAATAGCTCGAATAATATAATAGATGTCGCACCCTTATTTGTTCGCGCAAATAATAAAAACAAGTGTCAAAATTATATAACGTAACTAAATTGGTACTATTTACTAAATATTAAAAGTCACTAAAATTCACCAAAATTGGTTGAAAAAATTGGAACTCCAATTTTCACCCATTTAGGAAATTTAACAGTTACTTATGTCTTACATGTATTATTGCATCAAAAATAGGTTATTTTAAATCAGATTTAACTTTTGCTTATAGGAAAATCTATATCACAAAGCACAATGGGGGCAAGTGAAGATACCAAAATTAATATTATTTCTGACATTATGTTGAAAACAAAAAACTATATTGACCCAAATTTACACTTAACTCTTCAGTATCCCACAAAGGAAACATTTCTGTATGTTTATAATAAAAATGTATATCCAGAAGTAACCGAGGTTACAGAGAAATTCGCTAGAATTGAAAATGAAGAGATCCTCAAAAAGTTTATAAAAATCGAATTTAGTAAAATAACAGATGATAATAATAATAATAAAACCGATTTTAAACAGGAAATAAAGAAAGAGTTAGACCTGGAAGAGACTACTCAGATAAATAAAGATGGTACAAACGGAGTCAATAATTCAGTAGAAATTTTGGGAAATAATGATGATGCATTTTCAAATAATTTATATGTTTTATTAAAAAATAGTAATAATTATATGGAAGATAACATTTCTACAGAAAACAATACAGTGAGAAATTGCCAAAATCTTGTAATTAAAGATATAACGCCTCAAGTTGATAAACAGCTGAATCAAATATATTTCTCACGAGAAATAATAGATGCTGATAATGACAAACATTTTTACATATTTTCTTCCAAATACTTAACGAGTGTTGATGATGAAAATTTAATTAACGAAATTAAAAGTCAGTCACTGATTCAGATAGTAGAAACTATAAAATTGATCAAAAAGGAATTGGACAAACACATTTCACAACTTAAACAACCCATTTATAACAAATACAATACATCAACAAAAGATGGTTGTGACAAGTTTAAGGAAGGAAGTAGCATAAATAATTCAGGTAGTAAACAAGCAGAAGATATTAAAGATACCCATGTGAAACCTGAAAAAGAATTAAAAAATAAAAAACTCAAAAAGATATATGTACATAGAAATTCAAATGAAAATAAATCAAACCCAGAATGTGAAGAAAATATTGTCAAAAATTTATGCAAATCGCTTTATATTAGTAGCGACATCAATAGAAATTTTAAGAAAAAAAATGTGAATACTAACTCAAAGTTGAAAAAGTGTGTTTTTTTGGATGGAACAGTAGACTCCAGTTCTTCTTCCGAAGACGAAATTGGTACACTGAAACACAAGAAACCTTTAATAAAAAAGGAATCTACATCAAATTTATTTCGGTATTCCGCTTTACCCATCACATTTTGCAGCTCCCCAGGTCCGAAGAGTCAGGATTATCCTTGTAAGTAGATTAAATGTAGAAACATGTATTTTTCGAAACTTAATCAAAATTTTAAAATTGTCTGTACCAAATAGTCATTTAAAAATGTTCTATCAATTACTCATTATTAGTTGAGTAGCAACAAATTTTGTTTGATAGTTTTATTCACATACATTTCAATTTTTCAGCTGACAAACATCTGGTATCACAAAACACAAAAAAAAAGTGAGTCAAATAAAGTTTGTGGGGTAGCTTTTTGTATGCTTTAAAGCATATTGTCAAGTTATACAAATACTTTTGTTAAAAAAATGCTGCTGCACCTACTTGAACTGAAACAATGCTTGCAGCTAATTTAATGCTTCAGATATTACAAATTTTTTTAACAGGAGTTTTTGAGACCATTGCATCTATTTACTATCATACTTTCAAGTTTGTACGTTTGAAAAATAAGGTTTGGAGTGTTGTAGTTAGTGATGTTGCTTTGCTTAACATATGTAAATACATACATACACATATCGTAGGATTCATAGGTGGAGATCGGACTTTATCACTTTATAACATTATACTTAAGGGCCCCACAGACTTCCTTCCATTCGTGCAATACGGATCAAATCGCGCTAACCGAGAAAGGCAACGTTCCTAACCGAAACAGATTTTACACGACGGTGAAACCGTACCACTTTTTTCTCCACACACTGCGTGTCTGGCACGTTCGTACAGATTCATGAGGCCCAATTCGCGCGAATTGAATGATGTCTGTGGGGCCCTTAAAAGTTATTTTTAAATTATTCAAAGTAGGCTAATTTTGAAGAAGTAGACAAGAAGTACTTAAAATATCTAATAAAATTTATTGATAGTTAGTTTTAATCAAATTTGCACAGATTTCATGTTCATGTGCGATATTTTTCTGTAACATTAAATTTTTCAGTTATCATTCAAACATATTTTTTAGTGTTCAATTACATTTTTATAAAGGTGCATAAAATTTATTTTTGAATGATTATGATACAAGGCATATCTGCAAAGTAAGACTACTCAATTTTTAAAAAATCGTAACGGCAGTATATGAAAAATTTACATATTCAGAAAGGTACATCAAACACTATTTTTTTACGTAGTCGCCTTCAACCTCAATACCTTCGTTAAAAAAATCTCCCACCTCCTCTTGAGCTTATTGTTTCATGACACTGTGGACTTCATCGTCCGTAGAAAGCCTTTTTCCACCCATAAACACCTTCAGAGAAGAAAAAATATGAAAATCAAAAGGTGCCGGGTTAGAACAGTGAATAGGGTGGTTGATGATGTTCCAGGCAAATAAATCCAAAAATTGCTTTGTGACGTTGGCCGTTTGGGAACATGCACTGTCGTGCAATAAACACACTGCCTTCGTTAACATTCCCATTCTTTTGTTCAGTATTTTCCTCCTTACTGTTTTGAGGGTTTCTTATTACCGCACAGCATTAATTGTTTTCCCCTAGGGTAAAAAGTCAATGAGAAAAACCCCTTTTCCGTCCCAAAACACAGTTTTGCAATTCTTCACCTTCCGGTTTGAAGTACTCAAGAAATTCCATTTAAAAAGTGATTCTGTTGGTTTTGTGTTGATTCGTGAGCTGTTTTGGTACCCACCTCACACACAATTTTCGATATCCAAGTACTTATACAAAAAAAATTACCATTTTGGGACTCAACTTGTGATAAGTATAATTTAAAGTGCCATTCTATTTTTTTTCTCTTGTTAATAAAATGGACACATTGAGAGCATATATCAAGAAACAGTTGAGTAGCATTAAAATAATTTTTATTATCTACATATGGACCAGTTTATTGAACAAAGGGTATGGTATATGAAATCATGGTTTTAGAAATACCAAGAATATATGACTAAACCAAGAATTTAGTACAAAAGCGTTCCTACCGAACAGTCAAAAGCAAACAGTGATCTAAAGTGATTCAATCTGACTGTTTTGCACTAAACGCCTCAATTATCTAAACAAATAAAATAATATACTTATTTTTGTTTAAATTTTTATATTAATTAAAACTGTACCACCCCCCTAGTTAATGAGGTTTTCCAGGTTCCCCTCATTCCTGACCTGAATGGTGGTTAGGGCCTACCAACATAAGTTGTTCCTGGGCGCAAATGCGGCCTGCTTAATAATAATAATATGCCGCCTCCTCTCCCGCACAAGTCTCCGACTTCTGGGCTAATTTTCGTGGTTAGAATGAGGGGATATTATTATTATTACTATTATACAGAATGAATGGCCAGTAATAAAGTAAGTAATTTTCTAAACTTACAGCATGCAGCAAGAATTAGGGGATTGGCTGTGCCCCCCTGCCCCCTTGGCTACGCCCATGTTTATATCTTAAAAGATTTTCCTTCACATAAATGTTATGCATCATTTCAAAATTTTATTGAGTTGCAAAATTCAACAGAAGGTATTCGTTTATAAAAAAATATGTTTTAGTTGTAACTGAAAAACTGGTGGTACACAAATATCACGGACACCACTGAATTCTATGCAAAAAACTGAATAAAGAAACATCGCTACAAAAATATGTTATTCAATATTATCCAGAACGATGGAAAAGGGAAAATGCCATGTATTTACTAAACAAATCAAAATATCAAAATGTAGATGTAACCTTTCAATTTTTATCGAATTTCAATTCCGATAAATCATAACTTCTTCTCATCTACCTCTACAAGGATTAAGAGAAACTCATCAAAACTGATATTTAGACAATACCTTGAAGAGAGTGTCACAAAGACAGAGAAGTGAAAATCCTCTTGGTAATCCGATCTCTAATTATAATGAAAATTTGAAACTTGCTGGTGTATATAAGTTTTCCATAGAACTTAATTACATTTATCCTACCCTTTCCAATCTTATTTATCATAGATTAGGTCACCGTTCATATTAGTTTAACATAAATATAACTGCATCAATTCATATTAATGTTTTGTTAGTAAACCTAATATAAATAGAAAAAATAATAATGCTAACAGTAAATGTTCATCTGCCAAAATACTTAACAAATACGATGTAATAAAACCGTATTTGAATTATTATAACTAGAGTTCGGGACTCGGTCGGATGATCATAGCCGTCGCGTCGGCGTTTTGCTACAGCGCTCCATACGAAACCGGTAATAACGGCAGTTATTGGTTTCGCGTTTGCTTCATATATACGTGTTTTAATATTCTAATTATGTCGAAAACGCCAAGGGATAAAAAACGACCTTACGCTGATAAAATACGCAAATTTATTTATTTTTATTTATACCTACCTGTTCTTTTATTTGTTTACGACGAACACTTCTGTGACTAGCTGACGAAAACCCCGAACTCTAATTATAACTTTATAATTAATAGAAGAAAAATCACATCATTTTAACTTGTGCACTTGAAGCAAAATGTAAATTATATTTGTAAATGTATTTTTTCTTTATTTGGTGAGTAATTTTTGGTCATTAATATTTTAAAGATGATAAAACTGTTTTAAATTTCACATTACAGCTGCGAAACGGCAGAGACTTCAATAAACAAAGGTAACACTCAACCAACAGTCTGTGATAACGCTAAACGTAGGTTAAATTTTGCTAACACTTCCTTACAAACAACATTCATTGAAGAAAAATTAGTATGCAGCTATTCTCCTTTCAAAAAACAGCAAAGTTTAACGTGGGAATTAAAACTTGACAAAACCTTGAAGTCTCATCATCTTGAGGTTCCAGAGGAAACTTCTAAATGCATCGATAAAGATCTCATTAGCAGTGAAAATGATAACGAAAGTAAATCAAACATTATATCTATCATTAAAAATGCAGATGAGGATATAAATATTAAAAATACATTTGCACATAGTGAAAATTCTAATAACTCTGGAAACGAATCAAGCACCACTTTAGTCGACAAGGAGTGTATTTCTAATTCTAGCCATAGCGAAGTTTTTTCAGACTGTGATAGTGACGAAGAAGGAGATAGATCGTTCTTCAGGTCCCCTCAAATTGCCAATAAACTAAATTTGTTGTTAACCACTGCAGAAAAATATGACAAAGATACTAATTACAATGCAAGAGAAGGGACTTCTAAAGTATTGACTCCTCATTCAAATATTAGCAGCCAAAAAAGTTCAGAAGAAATTACTCATTCTTCTGGTAGTTCAAGTTTTGGATTATTGACACCTTATCAACACATAGCTGAAGAAGTTTGCCATTTAGATACAATACTTGAAGATGATTCTAGTAAAAAAAATGTTTGTAAGAATAATGAAAATGAATTGTTGGACAGTGATCGTTTAATATCAGCGGTAGATGTTAATAAACGTGATAATTCTTCCATAATTTTAAATCCCATTAAAAAGGCACCTACAAGAGATGAAATCAGTAAATCTTTAGATAAATATAAAATTCCTTTCGTTAAAGAAAATGTACCTTTCTGTAGCAACACTGATGATGTTACGGGAAGTGTAGAAGTTGGTTATAATGTCTTAAAAATTATCAGTAAGACAAGTGCACATATGCCAGAATTTGAATCACAGATGGATGGTATCAATAATTTTAGAAAACTTACGATGAATAGTATGTCTTCTACCCTAGAATGGAAGAAATCAAACATAAATAATTTAGCATTAAGTTTTTGCAAGGACAGGCATTGTATTATAGAACCACTTAAAAGACCGCCGTCATTAACAACAGTAAAGAACTGGATTCGCGAGAAATCAAAAAAAGTTGTTACTCCAGAAAAGAAAACTGAGAAAATTAAAGTTTTTATTCCGTTAAGTCCTGGAAATAATGGCGACGATGATGACATTAACATGTCTTTAACAATTTCTCCTTGCACTCCTGTTAATTCTCAAAGTATTAATAGTCAAACTGTAATATCTAGTCAAACTCCAAAATCTTCTAAAACATCAAGTGACTCATGTCAAACCCTAGATGTTCAAAATAGAAAAAGAAAGAGAGAAACCAAACAAAAATTATCTCAATCATTGAGTTTAAGGAAATCCTTGTTAGTTTCTCAAGATAAATCAAATTCAAATAACTCGTGTCAAATCACGGGTGTTAGTCCAAACAACACATATGCTTTCGATCACTCAACAGAAAATTTGCAAGCAGCACGAGCTGTGATTGAACATCAACTTTTAACATTACTTGTCATGGAGCTTCACATTCGAACAAGAGGTGAATATAAACCTAATCCAGAATATGACTCAATACGTGCAATATTTTACACAGTTTTAAATGATGTGCCTGCAAACCATCCTAAAGCTCCAAAATGTAAAGGTGTTATTGCAATAAATTCTGTACCTCTTAGTCCAAGTGGTCTCAAAATACCCATCTTAGATGGAGCTAGTGTAAATTGTAATGTAACTTATGTGGACTCGGAAGAAAATTTACTAAAAGAATTTTTGAAACTTATAGAATATTGGGATCCTGATATATTTGCAGGTTACGAAATTCAAATGCTTTCTTGGGGATACCTTATCGATAGAGCCAGCATACTAGGAATTAATTTGAAACCTCTGCTCAGTAGAATTAAAGAAGATAAGAAGTATAAAGATGAAGGAGGCCAAAGTGAGTTGCAGATAACTGGAAGAATAGTACTGGATGTCTGGCGATTGATGAGACATGAAATAGCTTTACAGAGTTACACATTTGAGTCTGTTATTTACCATATCTTGCATAAAAGGGTTCCCCAGTACTCTTTTAAGGATTTATCCTTTTGGTGGGATCATAGGACCACACTGTATAGGCATCGTACAGTACATTATTATTTATTTAGAGTAGAAATGGTACTGGAATTGTTTAATAAATTAGATATAATTGGACGTACAAGTGAATTGGCAAGACTGTTTGGAATACAGTTTTATGAAGTATTATCTAGAGGGTCCCAATTCAGAGTTGAATCCATGATGTTGCGTTTAGCCAAACCTTTAAATTTTATACCAGTCTCTCCCTCCGTTCAACAGAGAGCGTTTATGAAAGCACCCGAGTATATTCCACTTATACTGGAACCAGAATCTAAACTATATAATGATCCCGTTATAGTATTAGACTTCCAAAGTTTATATCCTTCAATAATCATAGCTTACAATTACTGTTTCACAACTTGCTTAGGCAAAGTGGAATGTCTAGGAAAAAATACTTCCTTTCAGTATGGAGCAACTCAGTTAAAGGTGTCAAGAAAGCTTTTAGGAAAATTACTCAAAAGGGATCTTTTAAACTTTTCCCCGTGTGGTGTGGGTTTTGTTAAAAAGGAAGTACGAGATGGAATTCTTCCCAGAATGCTGAGAGAGATTCTTGATACTCGTTTAATGGTTAAAAATTCAATGAAGGAAAATAAGGAAGATCAATTATTACAAAGGGTTCTTCACAATCGTCAGTTGGGTCTCAAATTAATAGCTAATGTTACATATGGTTATACCGCAGCAAATTTCAGTGGAAGAATGCCGTCAGTAGAAGTCGGAGACAGTGTTGTAAGCAAAGGTAAAATACAAATATCAAATATGTATTATAAAGAGCGTTATAAAAAAAAAACAAGATTACAAATTCTTTGGGAAAAAATAATAGCACATTCCTTATGATTCTTTTAAAAATTAGGATTAGATTAAATCGGAATAACAGATTTGTGCCTCATACAAGTCACAAATGCACACTTCAACTGTTTTAATAAGAGAGAACTGAGGTTGTAACCTTCTGCAATTTGTTTTCATTCTTATAAAACTAAATTAATATAATTTGTGTGAAAACAAATATTTTGTGTAAGACATATAAATATGAGGGTTGCCTTTTATATTTCGGGAGTAGGGAACAGAAAAGAGAATTAATCATCGTATATAGCTTTATTGTTTTTCAAAATATTCTCCATGAAGATCGATACATTTTTTCTATTCTGATTGAGGTGCCTATTTCCAAAATATGCATTTTGAACGCATCAACCGCTTCTTCAGGTGTCGAAAAATGTTTTCATAATTTGCTGCTGCTGTGCGGGAAAAAAAAAATTTGGGTGCCAAATCAGAGCTGTGCGACGGATGACTCATCAATTCGACTTTTTCATTTCTTAAAAATTCGCTCTTTGAGCTGATCTGTAAAGGCTCGTATTGTCCTGGCGGAGAATGATGCGTCTTCGGCGGTTGGCTTCCCTTTTTTTTCCGAAGACTTCTGACAAGCAAATGGTTATGTACCATTCAGAATTCACCGTCCGACATTGGTACAGTTATCCCATGGCTGTTTTTTTTCGAAAAAACAGGCAACCATTTGCTTAAAAGAGATTCGTGTGCGAACAACTTTCGTTGGATTTGGCTCATTTTGAAAAGGCCTTACAGTAGACTGCATACATCCATGATTCGTCACCTGAAATTCATCATTGAGTGAACCATAACCAAGACTGAATTCGATATACTGCCGATATATAGTGTTTTTTGATGGTGTTTCATAACCAAAAGTCGAATTAAGTTCATCGATGCACTATCGTTGATAATCCATGTCGAAAGTTGTTAAAAATAATTGTATAGAAATGCTTTGCAGAGAAATGTTCACGCTTAATTCCATTTTTTGGCTGAAATGAATTTTTCAAGCCACTGTAAATAACACAAACGGCGCCTGTACGTCAAAACGTTCTGAGTAAGTATATCGACAAAATGTAGAACTTTAGAATAGGGATGTCAGTCGTCAGATGGCAGCATCAGGATTGTCCATTCCCAAAATATAAAAGGCAACCCTAGCAATACATTTAAAAAACAGTAATTTTAGTTCTGATGTTTAAATGTTATGCAAAGATATATCTGAATTGACACCATCTAAAGACATTTTTGTAAAGCTTATTTTGTTTCTTAACAGTAATTCAAAAATTTAACAGCAACTAAGTCAGTATCCCATATTCAAAGAAGTTGCAATCACTTGTAAAATTAAAAAAATTAAAAACTAGTTTTAAATCAAAGGCTAGAGCAATAAATATTGAGGTCCATTGGGTTGATCCTCTTTTTCTCTATTCACTCTTCGATTTTTTTTAATAAAAAATACATAAAAAATGTGCTAGCATAAGTCTATGCAAAAATGAAATTGAATATCTTTAAAAATAATGTTAATAAGTTTATTAGAAATCTTGTTTTACATTCGTATTTCGACACACGTGTCCTGAAAAAGTGCTGTGTAAATAAAAATGGTATTAGTAAAAAGTATAACCATCAAAATGCATATTTTAAGGAAGAGAGACCCTTCAGCGAGCAATAGAAATGGTTGATGGGACTCCTGAGTGGGGTGCCAGAGTTGTGTATGGGGATACTGACTCATTATTTGTATTGGTGCCTGGGAAAAGTAGACAGCATGCTTTCGAGGTTGGTAAAAAGATTGCACAGGCTGTTACGAAAGCTAATCCTGACCCAATAAAGCTCAAATTAGAAAAAGTGTACCAACCATGTATCTTGCAAACAAAAAAACGATACGTCGGATATATGTATGAAAGCCCTGAACAAAAAGATCCTGTATATGATGCAAAAGGTATTGAAACTGTTAGAAGAGATGGATGTCCAGCTGTTAGTAAGGTAAAAAACATAAATTAACTACATTACAGTATTATAAACAGTAAAAATTATGTTAATTTTTATCTTAAGAAGCATTTACAATAATTTATATAAATTTTCTATCACTACATTGCTATTACTATGAATATATACATATTAACTCAATTCTATCTATTTTTTTTCTGTGTAATTTTCTAGATGTTGGAAAAATGTCTGAAATTGCTCTTCGAAACTAAAGATATCAGTTTAGTCAAAAAATATGTGTTACGTCAATTTAACAAAATAGTCGCTGGTCGAGCAAGTATACAGGACTTAACATTTGCCAAAGAGTATAGGGGAGCTTCAGGATATCGTCCAGGTGCTTGCGTGCCTTCTTTGGAATTAGCAAGGTAATGAAATAACTATTTTAATTTTCATTACATAATTTTTAATAGATAACATGTAGGTACTGCAATTTTTTGCTCTTTTGTTTTTGAATAACTTATCCACTTTCACAAAGAGTGCTTTGGAAACATCTAATTATTATTCCAAATGAAAATGGCAAAATTTAATTATTGGCTGTTTTGTTTTCAAAGCGCTCTTTGTAAAAAAAACAAAAAAATGAGTTATAACATATGATAATTGTAATCGGAAAGATGAACTGAAAAAATTGGAAATCAATAATAGCACCTATAAGAATAAACAAAAGTTTCTTCGCTAATATATATAGCTAATATAACTATAGATTTAACGTATTCATGTTATGATAAGATCTTTTTTTTTGTCGATGTCAATACTTATTTTCAATGTACAGAAAATGGACAGCAGTGGACAAACGAAATGAACCAAGAAGGGGCGAACGTGTACCATATATTATAGTAAACGGGCCACCAGGTTTGCCACTTATCCGATTAGTCAGAAGTCCTAGAGATTTACTTAACGATCCATCTCTGAGACCTAATGCCCTTTATTACATTACTAAGGTTATCATTCCTCCCATTAACAGATGTTTTAATTTAATCGGTGCTGATCTCAATGTATGGTAAGTATTTTATTTATTTTCTAAGTACATACATGTATTAGTAATTTTTATTTATTCAAGGTTTAACCAAATGCCCCGAAAGCAGATTCAGTCTATTCCAAATTCTGTCTCACCGGGAAAAAAGAGTACCATTTCGCAATATTTTTCAACCATTAGTTGCGTTGTCTGTGGAGAACAAACTCAAACCGGTATCTGTGATATATGTCTTAACAAACCACAAATCACCACTATTACGTTAGTGGAAAAACTGAGAAATTGGGAAAGAGATAATTACAATTGCAACCTGGTAAGTTTATTTCATTCAATTTTTATATATTTTATTTAGTAATGCACCACCTCACAGAATAAACACATACAAATAAATGAATATAT